ATGTATGTCCTTTGTATTGCCTTCGGCCTCTGTGCTGTGTTTCTTTTTTTCATGACCTCCCTGCCTACTCTGCTGTGTTGGGTACCTTGATCTCGATGCTGCTGTTGCCTTTGTTTTTTGTACGTCTGGCTGTCTGCCCATCTGCCGCCTCTTTGCCCTGTTTGCTCCGTTACTCCCATGCCCTGGTGCGTGGTGCCTGGTGCTGGTACGTTACCCTTTGATTTTTTCTTTGGGCGGGTGTGGGAAGCGTCCTCCTTTATTTTTGTTTTATTTTATTTTGATCGGTTTCCGAGGGCTCTTTTCTCGAACCGTCTGTGCGATACCTGTTCTTTTCGTTCGATCATTTTGTTTTCTTTTTCCGAGTGGTTTGTACCCTATTTTTGTTCTTTTGTTTTCTCGCGGCGTCGTATGTGCCGGGTTTTGAGACCACGGGCTCCCCATTTTTTGTGGACTATAGAGCTAATGTGAGAAACAACAACAACAACAACAAACTGCAAACAATCCGACACAGGCGCCGTTGCACTTTCTGCCAGAAATTTAACAATACTGCTGTATCCACAAAAGAATATCAACAACACGACGTGCATAGCCGATTAAAAAAGGGAAAAAATCAACAATTTCTCGATAACGTGGCGTTCGCATGAATCCGGTGCTACCTCGAAGCCATAGGTGCGAATCTCCTTGATGGCTCCTTCTGCGGCCTCCCGGACTTCTTTCTCCTTGACGGGGTCACGTGTTCTGGGGCCGGGTTTTTCTAAATCTGGCAACACCAGGGCCAGAAAAGCCTGAGAATTTTGATTGGACAACGAGAAGAGAAAAACACAGAGAAATGAGAAAGGCTGTCGCGTGAGCTACGGCGGACCATGGTCGCAGCAAGCGATAAGCACCACAACAATGTGACAAAGATTGTAATAGGAGGGGGCCTGACGACATGGATCCTCCATTAAGCGGCGGCGACACTCATGTCCAGCAAATCCAGCTATTAATCGCAAGAAATACGTGTCGCCGTCGTGCGTAGGCGAAGGACACAAACATACGCGTGAAAGGAACAAGAACAATGTGAGGACTGACGCGAGAAGAGATCCTGCAACAACCCGCGAGTGTGCACGCACACGAAGTCGACTCTGTCGATAGCACTACATACATACATGGAGGGATCTTTCCGCGACTCGCCTGAAACTTGTGGTTGCACAGGTAGGAGCTCGACACCAACCTTGTGTTGTTCTCCCTGCCGCGAAGCCGCTCCACCAACACGTCCGCCGGCGGCACCTGCATGCTGACTGCTATCAACCTCTTACCCTTCCCCGACTTCCTTTCTCTCTCCTGCCTTGCCAAGTCCCCTGTCCAGAGGGTGGCCGTTAGCTTTCCTTCCGGTGCCGAAGACCGCGAAAATATGATGTACCTGATGCCTTGTGTTTTCTAGCTGCCAACCCTTGGTTCCCACCGAGATCCTCACACCACGATCGCCTTTCGCCGTTGGGCAGCTGGCCGGGGCGCAATATCTGGGCTGGTTTCGCCTCCTGGTGTCTCGATCTGTATTGTTATTCCTATGTATGATAGCGTGCGGGATGGCGTGGCAATGAACGGTTGGATATACGTGTGCGCAGGCGGCAGGCGGATATGATCGGGGAAGCACTGTAACGCTGCAAGCACATCGCTGGCAAAGGGCGGGTGGTCGGCTGAAAACGCAAGTACACGGCCATTCGCTCAGGTATGAACTATGAACTTACGCGCGCATTTCAATGCAATGTTGTTGGGGGCACAGACCACGGGCGATCAAATGTCTCACCCAGCACACCCCCGCGCACCCGCGTACCACAATTTAGGCGATTGCGCCGCATATGTTCATATGTTCGATGTGTGCGGTTGAAAATTGAAATGTTGAAATGTTGCAGGCTATCCTACATATATCTTCCTTCCAACATCCTTCTGCACATCCATTGAATGCAATGCTCTACAGTCAAGCATAGCGCACCACGTCGCCAACGCCCTCTTGGGTTTGCTAATAGGCCTAGCGAACAAGGTCACTGGTCCGACGGCACACTATCCTGACAAAAACAGCCGCGGGCTGTACCAATACTCCCTCAGTCTCTAAGTTATCTCCCAGAGATTTCAAGCAAAACTCCATGAACGTGGACCCACCTCGGTGCGCGTAGCTGTCGTAGGTGACACGAGAAGTGCAGTGAGTTGCAGTGGCGCCGTGCACAAGCAACGTCTTTCTCAGCAGGGGGCACTGCACATGGTGTATAACACATGTGATCCATTTTGCTTGATTCGACGTTCCCCCCTCCCTTGCGTCGCGGTGGCGCGCGCTGTCATCGCCGCTGACAACAAGACGAGAGATACTGTCAACTATGGTGAGAAGAGGGTCGTGCGCCGGAGCGTGCGTGGTGGCATGCGTCCTCGCGGTTGCACCCGCACCATCCGCAGCGTTTCTGTCCTCCCCACGCCTCGCCAAGGTCGGAACGGCAAGGTCAGTGCAGCCAGAGACACAAATGCGACGCAGACTTGTCATGCGTGCCTTGCACACACGAGACGTCTCAACGGCCATGTAGCTCTCTGGTTTGCAGGGGTGTGCGGTGTTATATCTGTGGGCTGGGCTCGATAGGCCGATCGGCATGTTAGTGCCTGCCCTCCCCATTTTTTCTGATGCTTCAGTTGGTCCTTCGGTCAGCAACAGCCCCCCAAGGAGAAACGTGCCCTACTTGAGGACGTGGGCCGTCTGCAAACATGTGCCAACTCACGGACACATTGCCCTTGGGTGCCGTGGTGGACTGGCATAGGTGTTGCGGCATGGTTGGTATGTGTCTGGGTTGTTGAGAGTTGCGGTGGCATTCGAACACGCGTTGGTTGCAGCGACTCGTGCATGTGCCTGTTTGACGCGTGGCTACGCAAACTATATCCAGCTCCATTCACTTGTTTTTAGACAGGGCCTACCAGCAGGGCGGGTACCAGGGAGCAGGATTGTTTCATCAACGCGAGCTACAGCAGTAGCTGTTGTATTACACGTGTACAGTACTCTGAAGACGCACGTCGTTGATTGCCGGATGGCAATGCAACGGTGCTACTATAACTGTCGGGGCAGCTCCTTGTCTACACAACAGCAGTACCCGGCCTCCGTGGTCCGCGTGAAATCTGCCTGAGCATGAAATCTGCCTGAGCATGTTCAGCATCCTGACGGCAACCTCACTTTTAGTAGATAGAAGACTGGTCCGGCCGGCGCCAGCAGGGCACACACTGCTTGTTTCTTGGTTTACCCGGAGTGCGGGAAAACGTACATGTGTGGTGCCGGTTGTTTAAGTTCGATGTTGGTCCACGTCCAAAGCGGTGCTGTCCAAACCCCGACCCACACGTGCATTGCCCGATAGCTCTCACTCAACGAGATCTTGATCTTCCCACCAGACGCAACCCTTTTCGTCGTCGGCGGGCTGTTAGTTGTAGAGCAAATCGAGCAATGTCATAGAAATCGATTGATCGCACGCCTGTGCGTTTGCCCCCCCGCACTCTTGTGGCGTCTGTGCCCATCTTGTGCGTGGTGTGCGGTCGAGAAGAGCTGTTTAGGTGGGTTGAACAACGTGCATTTCTGGAAAAATTCCTCCTTCTGCTCCCTCATGGCTGATGACCTGTCAAAGGAGAACAAACAGCACGTACCAGGTGCAGACGCGAGTCGACATCGGCCCGTACCTAAATTTACAGAGTGCCCACACATTGGGTCACTGGGAGTTGAGCGCGGTCAAATCGGCTCGACATGGCTTGTAGCGCCCTGACCTACAAGGCACGCTGCAAAAATCTGATGCCCCTGCTTGCACCGCGTTCAGCATTCGTTCATCGGAATTGGCCATAATCGCGGGGTACGGGGACGCCGGCGTAGCTAATTACTTCTTGAAGTATCCGTTTTGAGTCCGGCCTGATGGTATGATACCTCCCAGTTCAAGCAGTCCTGTCCCCCCGATGCAACATCACGAACGCTGCTGTGTTGGACATACTTATGTAAATTGTTTCACGTTCGAGGCCCGCTCGGACACATATCATTTACATTCCCGTCTACGTGAAACATGGGAATGCCCGTGCTCTAGATGTAATTCCCGGCTGAAAGGCGTCGACATCTGTCTGTGCTAGCACAGTGGGATGAGCCAAGGACGGGTGATGAGGGGGGGTGAGAAGGGCGGTCGTGGTCACCCCGCCCCCCGCGCGCAGGCGTCCTATTTGCGCTACACAGCCAATTTACCGGGAATCCGCAGTATCACGCCTTCGATGCACATTATTTTCTGTTATGTTTCCCTCTCGCCGTCCGTTTCCAGGGCACATGGAGCCAGGGGGGCAACGCGGACGGGAGCGATGCACATGTCGGGGTTACCCGCGGACTTTGACCCGCTGTCGCCCAGCATGGACCACTTGTCTATGATCGACCAGGCTAGCAAGGGGCGTTCTCAACCAAGCGTGAGTTGCCATGTCTTTTTTTTTTCTCTGCTGGGGAGCTTTCCTGAATCTCGTGTTGAAGATGATCATTTTGCTGTCGGCGTCGGCCTTTATGCTGTTTTTTCTTTGCCATGGCCTTGCTTTGACATAATGCTGAGTTGGGTGTACGTCCACGCAAGGCTAGGCTCTCTTGTGCGGGTATGCTGGATATATCCTAGCGTGGAATCGCTGTGTCCCCGGGACACCTGCCAGCCGCCTGTTGCGGAGGCATCACCTCCACAGCGGTCAATGTCTCACATGTCCCGTCTTTGTTTTCTGTCCTGGATTCGTCGTGCTTGCGAAGATAACCGCTGAACCTAGTTTCCCCGTTTTCCTTGCACGCTTCAGATGATCGGAAGTGCCGAAAGTGACAGTTCCTATCCGTATGATTTTGCTTTCCTTCGTACGGGACATGGTCGTGAGGGCGCATCAACGGATATTTTGTTTCCGTACGGTCTTTGGCTTTCCTCAGATATTCAATGACAAGGCGTCGGATACATTGCGTTTCTATTTACGTCGCCCTCCCTCGCCAGCTTGTCTCGGGGCATAAATCTGAGTGTTTAGCGACTTAATGATCGTATACTCATCGTTTCCTCATAGTTTTCTTTGTGTTGGTTTCCTTGCAAATGTGATTTTCGTACACTAGAAATGGCCGTATCGTGGTACTTGTGTTCAATTAGTTTACACACTCTTTGATGATGATTGCGGATCACGAACGTACTTTCGGATCCCTCACAATGTTTGTATTATCCGTTTGTCCTTGTGAATGTTGTATGTATTCTAGATGATCGGGGGTGCGGGCGGTGTGACCGAAGACAGGAACACGGACCTCGACGGGGCGAGGGTGGGGCCTCCTCCTGACCTGCCGTCGCTGCTGCTTCACAACCGCATCGTGTACCTTGGGATGCCCCTCGTGCCGGCGGTGACGGAGCTCATCATCGCGGAGGTGAGGCTTTGCTCGGTGCAGATGTGTTGATGGTGGTGGTAGTGTGAGCTGTGTTGATAGTGATGATATTTTCCGTGCTGTGTGTTGTTGCTGCGGTGTTCGTGGCGTTGTTGCTGCTGCTGTTGTGGGCTGCTGTGTGTTGAGGAACGTGTTGCTTCTGCTGTTGGTGGCGTTGTTGCTGTTGCTGTTGCTGTTGTTGATTCTTGCTGTTGATTGATAAACGTTCTGGCGCTGCTGCTGCTGAGGGAGGGCGGTGGTGGCAGAGGTGGCGTTGGTTGTTGATAATGTCATTTACCATTGTGGTCGTGTTGCCGTTTCAAGTTCCCTATTCCTTTCCGCGTCAGCTACAGAACGGAAGAGGCTACCTATTACATGAAGCGTTCTACTTGGCATTAAACTTGTTGGAGCATGTCTAGATCGCTCGGCCGCCACTGCTTTATTGGTGAAGCGAATTTGCGTGCTATCGCTGCTGTGACTCTGTCGGAGCTATCTGCACCTGTAGAGCAGTGTGCTGCTTTTCCACGAAGAACGCCGACATAAGCTTGAAGCCTGCATTGTGACCCGTTCTTACCTAAATGCCTCCACTCTGCACGACACTCAAGTTGTTCTTGTGCTTGCCGTTCTTGCGCCAAATGTTTCTCGATACGATTCCATCTCAGCTGCTGTACCTGAACTACGAGTCAGCCTCCAAGCCCGTGTACATGTACATCAACACGCCGGGCACATCCACCCCCGACGGTCGCGCGATCGGATTCGAAACCGAAGCGTTCGCCATCAGCGACTGCATGAACTACATCAAGCCTCCGGTGTACACCATCGGAGTGGGGCAGGTCGGTACTCCCCCACTGCTTTGTCTAAGTGCCCGTTAGCGTTTGTCGTTATAAATTCTTTTTGGGTTGCACGTGAGTGGGTGCTGTCAGGAAGGTCGTGTATGTAAAATATGTTTTCCTGTTGACCTACACTACCAGTGTTGCAGCAACAAGCGTGGCGTCGTTATTTGGTGCAGCAGTCCGGCGAGTTGTCTTTCTTAACAGACCTCTTGATCAATACTCGCACCACGGCTCTAATACACATGCCCAGCACCGGAATCCCGCCCCCGGCAGGCATATGAGAGTAAAACTCAACGACTTTGTCAACTATTGTGTTGCGTATGTTCCAATCTAGTAAAACGTGGTGGATCGGTTAGGGATCGGGTGGGTTAGTCCTGTTTCCATGGGAATCGACCGTGTCAAGTGGTAGATCACCACCGACACGAGATACGGAGTAGTGTGATCGGAGCGGTTTTTGGTGTGATGACAACAACAACAACAACAACAACAACAACAACAACCGGATGGTTGTTCCATTGTATGGCCAGGCGTTCGGGCTGGGGGCCATGCTGCTTGCCTCGGGGGAGAAGGGGCACCGTTCGGCTCTGCCCAACGCGAGCATCATGCTCCACCAGCCGCGCAGCATGGCGAGGGGGCAGGCGTCGGACATCGCCATCAAGGCCAAGGAGGTGCAGTGGCTCTCGATCTTTTTATTATTGTTCCCGCTACAGTATATCTTCAGTCGCTTTTCCTGCCGTAGCACCAACATCACCATGTCAACTTGCTGACCTCTTTTTGACATGTATGTACTCTCTGACTGCGCTTTGCGCGCCGGTGATGCATTGCGTCGGAGTGCTTTTTTTTTAACGTCAAACGTAGCCATCAAGGTCAGCAAGACCAGTGGCGAATGTTGATAATATCAATGGTAAATACAGCAGGACGGCTCAACAATACACGACCCTGTCATCTTTGTGGGCTGTGAAGTACATTTTACAGCTATTCGAATTTGGTACAACACTGTAGCTTTCCGGTAAATGAATGGTGAGGACGATTGCACGTTGACTGCTTTCCGCCGCGTGAACTGTTGCAGGGGCAGTAGGGGACAGAATTGGCCATCACGGCCAGAGAAGGCCGCTTGAGCACCGTCAAAGTTGCTGTCCCGAGAGCTTTTCCACACCCTCACACCACTTGGACTTGTTTATTAACCCACGCCAGCAGTAGTGTTCCTCGTACGTACCTACCGCTCAACATGTTGGAGTGCTGCCGACAAACGTACTGCTGAACTTGCGCCAACCATTGCTGTAGACAGTTAATAGGATGAGCGCCGCGGAGAAATGTGGAGCACGCCCTGATCAAAACGCCGCGTTCCCTTTCATTGACAATAACGAACGCATTTGGTGCGTGTGTTCGTTGCTGTTGACGACCCAGGTAATGGCTAACAGGAAGACGGCGACGCAGATGCTTTCGGAGGCGTGCGGAAAGCCTTATGACGAGGTCCTCCAGGACTCGTCCAGAACCTTCTACATGTCTCCCGACGACGCGGTAGAATACGGCCTCATCGACAAGGTGAATTGATTCACGTATTTTGGCCGTTTTCCTGTAGCGCTCCTCTGACGGTTTTTTGGGTCATTTTTGCGCGCTATAGAGGCGTGTTGTGTTGTAGTAGAATATGTTGTTTTCCTGTCCGACGTGTATTCTGATCCCGTCTTCGTACATTCATTGTGTGTGTTTTAGAGTTTACCCTACTTGATCTTGATTGCACCGCACGCATAGGCACCGTTACGCGACCACACATTTTGAGCAAGGACAGCCAAGGGGATAAACGGTGCCTTCACTGTATTCTCGAGGGATAAGTATGGTATGGTGCCTTAGTATATTTTGACGGCGAAAGTGCGAGGTTGTCTGACATGTGTCTTCCGCGAACGACCATCTCATGCTAGTGCCGTGAGTCATTCGCCCCCATCTATTTTTTTTTGTAATTCTGTCCTCCCGCTGTTTCTCAATTGTTTTTTTTCTTGTTCCCGAAGGTGTTGCGGTCGAGCAAGAAGGACGATGTCGTGGCGCCCGCCTTCCTCGACGCGTTGTCCATGGGCTCACAAACAAACAGGCAGTCGTTGTACGAGGACTAGACCGCTAGTCTACCGCAGTAGCCTGCTACAGCAGTGGTCTATTGCTGTTGTTGTCGAGTCCTTCCGTTGTCAAGAGGAGGCTGTCAGTCTGTTGTGCTGGTCGCATGACGGTCCTGGGTTTCCAACTGATTTTTTCTGTGCCAGGCGGGGACAAGGGTCGCACAATGCCACCGGCTTGGCGACGTCTTGGTTGCATGCGTGCAATCGTTGTTTCTGGTTTTGTTGACTTTTGGGTGATTGTCTTTCGCTGTAGGCGGGGAGGCGGCTGCCGTGTCGTGCCAGGAAATTTTGGATGGCGAAAACTCGAGTTGAGGTTCTGCTAATGTACGCATAGCAGCTGCTGTGTTATGAGCAGTGTTGCAGGCGATGGACGAGCTTGCCCTGACCAGAAGTGTGCATTCCAGTTGTTACGCAGATGGCGGGATGACATGTGGGAAACTAAAACATTGTCCTGCACACCTCATTATTAATGCGGCGAAATCTGCGCTCGGCATCGGTCTTGTCACTTGTTTCTTCCCGATATTCAGCGTCCAGGTACCTCGTGAAGTGCTCCTGGGACACGTCATCGGCGCGGTTTGCATGACCTGTTGAAACGTTTGTGAAGCATCTGTTGTTTATTTTCTTCGAATGTTTTGGTTTGATAGCAAAGCTGCGTATATATGGCCGTGTAAAATGCCCAACATGTAGCCACGGCTGCTCCATGATACCCCTCCCGCGGAACAGAGATGACCTGCCACCGCACGCTGAGCACGGCACACGGAACGGCATGGACATGAAAAAGGGTGTCACCAGACGTGCCTTCAGCCCGCCCTCGGAATTTTTTTTTGTTCTGACGCCGGCTAACCCTGAGCAAGCAAGAGAGCATTTCCATGTTACAAAGCCGTTGAAGCGTTGGATTCTGGCAAGCGCCGTGCTTATGGCGGGAGGGTCTGCTTTGCTCTGCCAAAGACCGAGGGAGTATGATATCGGCTGCTTTACTGGAGGAAACGCGAAGATTCCTGTGCCCGAAACGGCACGAGAACCTTTTTTTGATTAGGTGGGGCTGTGGGCCGCAGCGAGGGCGCAGGGGCAGTGCCCCGCTTCTTCCGAAACCAATTCTCTCTCCTCTCTCGCTCCGTCTGCACAGGACTCGGCCAGCAACAATGAGCTCTCCCGCGTACGCGACCATCGATGAGACTTCTGGGGTATGAGGCACTAAATAACTAGCGCAATGCGTATCAACAAGTAGACAGAGCAGCAACCCGTGTGCTCTCTCTGTTCGTTTTGTTCGCAATCCTACACAGACCGAGGAGATGATTCGAAGTCAAGACATGCCACATTGCCTTCTACCCTGGATAAACTGCTGATATCCCATTCCTACCGATCTGCTCTCAGCCATACGCGACTGTTCCTCCTTCAATACCTGGGCTGTCTTCGTTTCCGCAGCTCTTGTCTATGGTTGGTGCTTGAATTGCGCGTATGGATTCAACCTTGAAGGAAAACGCGAGATGGCGGCACCTACTGCTGTACGCACAAGTTCCGAGAATCACTCGGAGATCATACCATTGGCATCGTGTTTGTAGAGAATTCAGGCAACACCGCAAGCCACCCTAGTGCCGGCCAGGCGCCCTTGGACGTGGCCCGTACCCCTGTTGCGCAGGCCGTACTATATGTCAACCGTACATTAAATCCCTTTGGTTGGTCCAATTAATGTACTGGTAGATGACTGATGGCAGACTAACCTGTATGTACATCCAAGTCTAGTCTACACCACATGATGATCTGCTTGTTCGCGGAAGAGCTCAATCCTGCCGATTCATGGGTTGCTGATATGCCACTTTAGTACTTCGTCCTTCTATAACGCGCACGAATGATAACTGCTCGCTGCCTCGCCACGCGCCTTCTTCCCGGATGGCCAGAAGATCAATGCCGTGATTGGACAGCCTCAGTCTGCGGAGGCGGCGGTGAGTGATATATTTTTGACGTTGATTGGTCGAGAAATGACAACGTCCGCGCGAGAGAGAGAGAAGAGAGAGAGAGAGAGAGAGAGAGAGAGAGAGAGAGAGAGACGGAGAGA